ACCGTAGTAGAAATGCCTAAATATGAGTCAAAGATATTGGTAAAACCAATTGTCTGTCTTTTACAGTTTCAGGTCCTTATAGCAGGAATACACTGATCAACATTAAAACCATCTGCTTAATATCTTGTAGATTCCCTTGTGCTGCCTTGGACTCCACAAGACGTCTGAATGTGTCCCATGGTCTTTGGCACCAAGAAATTAAAAGCAGATCCTGTAAGTCCTGTAAGTTGCGAGATTATCCTGCTGAAAGAGGCCACTGCCAACAGGAAACACCATTCGTCAAACCAGGCAAACTTCTTCCACTGCTCCAGGTCCAGTTCTGATACTTACATGCCCATTGTAGGTGCTTTCGGTGTTGGACGGGGCTATTTAATGTGACTACAGAGCATAAAGGTATTTACTTTAACATGATGAGTTTCTGCAAAGCTGCTTTGAAACATTGTGTATTGTAAAAAGTGCAATATAAATAGCCTAGATTTGACTTGACTTTTATGGGCAGCTATATGTCAACTTATCATTGTGATGGTGATACTGTTATTTGTAGCCAATATTCAGTAGATTCAGCGGATTTAATAAGATTTAGTGTTTACAGTGCAGTGATCAGGTACGGTGTCATTATTGGGTCTTTAGTGGTTCCTCTATGAGAACAGCAGCATGTGTTTATAGGTTGAAATAGCATGAGGCTTTACACTGCAAAACCTGCCAGATGTTTTCTCTGTTTGTTTGTTTATTTGTGGTGTCATAGATTTATGGTTAAAGATTGACGGTTCAAATCCAGCAAGGGTTGACCCATGAAATCTCACCATTGTGTCCTTGATCAAACTCTGAATGTCAGGAACTGAACCTGTAATAACTGCACTGAAAGACACCATGGAGAGAAGCAGCAACCAAATGCCAAATATGTTTTCTATTTTATTATTTGTTATTAACTGCTGCACACGCCGTTTACTAGTTTTAAACAGTTGAAAAACAGCAATATGCATTTATTAGTCATATTTATTGCATATTAATAGTTTATTCATAATATCAATATTAATATGTATCTTCAGATGTTTGCCAGTTATCCATACCATATGAGTTATTCTTTGTATTTTGTTGTGACAGAAGTGTTGTAAACATTCTGCATTTTGTAAAGCATTTGAGCACATAAACACTATTTTTATATGGAAAGGAAATTGTAAAATATTTGTATGTTCATGTGATGCAACATTAAAAACAGATTTGATTCTTTCATAACGGTTGGAATAATTTTATTTATTTGTTTGTTGGTTTGTTTGTCAAATGTTTTAGTCGTATTCTTCAGAAAAGCTCGCATTGGTTCAAAAATAACATTATGTTTTACAATATTAAACAATGTTTAATAATACAAAGCAGCTGCATGTGGCGCACTGCTGAACACTTGATGAACTATGTTTAGTCTGTATTCCTCCAGAGGGCGCTCGACGTCCAATGTAATAAAACGGCGAGACTTGAACGTATAAGTGAGTGAGAAAACTTACTGACAAAGGCAGGCAGATATACAGATGGCGAATGGACAGCAGTAGTAGAAAAGTAAGATCTGTGCGTCTTATCTGATAAAAAATATAAACAACAAACCTCTCAAAGAGAGGTGAAGAACGCAAGAAAAGCACACAAATGTATTCATGCGTTATTTAATGTTCAGCTAGTAGAAACTCCAGAGACGTCTGATCTGAACACCATAACCAGACTGAACACTAACACGGCATAACAAGAGAGGCAAGATGCTTTATGCAGACATCCCACCTCTCCCGGAAGCTCCGGGAGTCTCCCGCATATTAACAGTGGCTCCCTGATGCACGCAAATTAGATACAATATCCCGGAAATCGTGGAGGCAAGGGAGAGTATGAGCAAGAGGAAAGAGCGCCACTTAAGCGAGAGAGAGACACATGTAGTGATATATAATATAACTGTATGAGATCACCATATGAGTGTCTGCATGTATAATTCAGTTTAGACAGTTAGCGTCCGTGGTATGAAAACGATCGCTGCGAGACGCTGGCGGAGTGAACGAATCTTGAGGGCGAGGGCGCAGCCTCCAGCCAGATCCAGCGATTATAAGCGTTTTTGGACTTGTCTTTTTTTTTAATTAAATTTGACACTTTAGAAAGTTAATAGAGTGGGAAGTTGCAATTTAGGGTCAGCAATATCCTTATCTTATTTGCAAAATATTTGAAATATTTTTATTTTTTTATTTTTCGGTTTTTATTTGTTTTAATAGCGTTATCTGCAGTGTTGGGGAAAGTACTTTTAAAAGTAATGCATTACAATATTGCGTTACTCCATAAAAAAGTAACTAATTACGGTACTTAGTTACTTTTTATGGAAAGTAATGCGTTACGTTACTTTTGCGTTACTTTTAAAATCTGGACAGGGCTTGCTTGTTTGTTTTTAAAATAAAAAAGTTATATTTTTGGCAAATATAAAAGCCTCTTCACACCAAAAGTGAAATGAATAAGCCTCAGGCTGAAGGAAATGTAAATTTAAGTCCGTACAGTAGAATGCAGAAGAAGAAATTTCAACACACTTCAGCAATAAAAAAAGACACACAAATGTTTGTCTAGAGTAATTTGTGCTTATTAGTACGGTTGAACTGGATCATCGAAGGTCAGAAGCAAAGACATTGGTTAATAGAATGGGATTAAATACATAAAGGATATTTGTGTTGTTTAACATTTAATTATTGCAGGTTCGCGTCATATTCTGAGTTGCATTATTTTTATTCATTTAGTGGAATACTGAATCTGTGTGTTTTTTTTTTGTGAGTGAGATTAATGCATATTCATATTATTATAGAACTACAGTAAAATCTTCTGATTTCTCTCAACATGGCGACAGGAGAGCTGTTAATCAATAAATTGAAAAAAAAAAAAGTAACTTGCGTTACTTATTTGAAAAAGTAACTCAGCGTTACTTTACTAGTTACTTGAAAAAAGTAATCTGATTACGTAACAAACGTTCCTTAACCAACATTCATTCAGAGTTATCTGCTCTTTGATAACATTCTCAAAATGTTAACACAACATTATTTATACATCCTTCATGGAACGCTTAATTTCTGAAACCTTGTATTTGGATGTTCATCTAACATTTTTAAAATGTTTTGAAACATCCAAAGAATATTCAGAAGTGATTTTCCCATAATGTTTGCATGTTACCTTAACATTCGTATAACCAAGAAAAACATGTTTTTAAAATGTTTAAAAGATGGATGTTTGAGCGTTCAGAGAACATTCAGAAATCAGGTTTTTGTAACTTAATGAAACGTTCGCAAAACATTCTTAGAATATATATATTTTTTAGCTTTGGAGTTATCTGGTCTTTAATAATGTTAATGCGTTACTTTACTAGTTACTTGAAAAAAGTAATCTGATTACGTAACTCACGTTACTTGTAATGCGTTACCCCCAACACTGGTTATCTGGCAACACTGCATCGCCGACACTTAAACGGACAGTTATCAAAAGAGCCCATGGACATGTTATTGCTGACAGGAGAGCACATTCGGTAAGGGAAACGCAAAAAATATCATGATATTATCTATTAGAAACGTTATTAACGTTATCAAAAACAGTAGCATTTAACACTAGTACTGTAGATGACTAGATCTGTAGAACAATAGGTTACAGAATGAAATGAAATACGCAAACACTAGCCATGAAGAAGTCTATGCTATTTTATTCAGTAGTCGTTACATTTTCACAAAGTCATGCTAAAAACATCCATAAGAGCACTAGACAAAGTTATCATGGAGCAATGATTATTAATGAAAACTATAACGGTAATATGGATTGTTGCATGAATAATAAACAAATGATAAAATGATCCACCCCTATTCTATAGTAAATATTAACAATGCAATAAATAGGCTATGGTATAATTTTACAGTGTTCATCCTTTCATCGGGGGGGTTATTTTAACTTTTTCCTCATTTCAACTTTTTAATGTCATAACTATCTTTTTTTTCTCTCTCTCATGTGGTGGAAATTGGCTTCCATGCAATTGTGAAAGGCAAGTTGTGACCCTGTGTTAAAATGTACTCCATTATAACAAACTAAACCAATATTGATCTGGCAGACGCTGTGTTTAGTTGTGAAAGTGAAACTACTTTGTTTGGTCTTCCAAAAGAGGACACAACTAGAAATCAGTGGTTAAGTTGTATTTACAACACTGTTCCAGAACAGTTCAACTCAAATGCTTCCTCCCTGAAATAAGTTTTTGCAGGGCGGGATGTCTGCTTTATGTATTCCCAAGTACACTGGATTGATGAAAATCTCTTTGTTTTCTGGTTGTCATTAAAATAATAATAATAAATAATACAAAGATATACGTTTTTAGCTCTGCTTTTAGCGTGAATTTAAAATTAGACAAATTTAGAACCATTTTAATCTTTCAGCTATGCTCCTGTATAGTATCTAAATGCTTATGCTTTGGTAGATCATAATTATGAAATTAAATTAAAAAAACTCAAAATTATGATATAAAAATCATAATTATGATGAAAAACATAACTGTGATAAAATGTTTAGATTTTGACATACTAAGACATTATTATGACATAAAAGGTCAAATGTAGCCTAGGCCTAAATGTTAACTTTAGTAATTTTGACCCTTTGTCTCATAATTTCTAGCCTAGCTTTTGTCATAATTGATATCATAATTATTATTTAGTATGTCACAATATTGACATTTTTCCTTCCTTGTTTGAACTTTTTCCTCATTTCAACTTTTTAATGTCATAATGATCTTTTTTCTCTCTCTCTCATGTGGTGGAAATGGGCTTCCATCAATTGTGAAAGGCAAGTTGTGACCCTGTGTTAAAATGTACTCCATTATAACAAACTAAACCAATATTGATCTGGCAGATGAACATATGAAGCCATTACATTATATTATAGATAATAGATTAATAAATTATTTAAAAAAAAAGTTATATGAGAAATTATAAAAACATTTAGATTCTAAATGTGGGACTATATATTCAATCTTGTTCAGCTCTTCTGGATCTGATGTCATAAACCAGAACAACAGCAGCAGCCACACCCACCAGAGCAGTGACGACCAATCGGATCACAGCTTCAGCAGAATCACAACCACGGACACAGTCTGAAGGATAAAAACATGAAACTGAGATCAACTCATTCACAGACTAATAAACTCATGCCCTTTAAACTTACCTTCATAAGTGTGACAAAGTTGAGTGTTGTTGAGATATTGAGTCTGGTTAGTGAATGAATTGTTGAGCACACAGCTGTAGGTGTTTTTCTCCTGATATTCCACCTCCAGAGGTAGAGAGAGACTGATGCTGAGATCAGACACACTGATGCTGGACAATAAACTGTTTCCTTTGTACCAGGAGAGAGTCACATGACCCGCATTCACCACTGAACACACCAATGAACAATATGATGATGATGATGATTGTGAAGAATCTCTGGTAATGTTAGGCACGGGCAGATGGGCTGAAAAATAAGAGAACATGCAGTAATATGGATAAATGTACACATCAATCTTATTTTCAGCGTAGTGTGTTGACAGTCAGTGAGTGTTTTTGTCATCTCACACTTTAAGTAGGTAGTTAAAGAAATAATCTGTGTTCATTCCTAGTTAAACTCAGTCAACAGCATTTGTTCCTTTTCTTTCTTTCTTTCAATTTTTTTAATGGTTACAGTAAGGCACGTACAATGGAAGTGAATGGGGGCCAATCTTCAAGTTTAATTGAAAATGTGAAAAATCACTTAATGTGTTGTTAAGTTAAATCCAGTCTTACAGTATTATCATCATGACATAACATACAAGTTTTAACAGAAGAGTTTATGTTAACACACAAAATTTACTTGATTTTTTTTCTTTCTTTTTCTTTTCCTTCCTTCCTTTTTTTTCTTTTCTTTTTTCTTTTTCTTTTTTGTGGTAAATCAAAATTATCCTAAGAATGCTGTCAAGAAAAAGAATACTGACTGAATAATGAAGAATAATAATGAAAGACTAATGACAGTACAAATGATCTCTACTCACCATAGACAGAAAGACTGAATGTTTTTGTTGACCGTCTTGCTCCAGTAATCTTTACTTCATAGAGTCCAGCATGTTTAGTTGTGATGTTTGTGATGTTCAGAGATCCAGTCTGATGATCCAGCTTCAGTCTGTCTCTGAATCTCCCATCAGGGAAGATTTGGTTCTCTCTCTTGATTTGAGCTATCAGAGAGTTTTCAGCTCCAAATTTCCACAGTATGTCATCGTCTTCATGTATTTCAGTAACATCAGTGTTTAGAGTGATAGAATCTCCCTCCATCACTGACACCATCTCAACACAACACACATCTGGAAAACGTGAAGAGGTTTTACACAGATTTAGACTCTTAATGGTTAACAAAGCTGAATTCATTTGCTGTTTGTAACTTTTAAATGTGAACTGAAGAACATTCAGAATAGCAGCAGAAACACAAAAGCTAACGTAAGGTGAGATGTACAAACAGACAGATGTGTGTCAACCAAACATTTCATCTTTAATACGTTTGAAGGTTATCTGCTTTACAGCAAAATTAATATGTAAAGAACATAATTTATTTTAAATATAAGTACACAATGATAATCGCAGATTAAATTCTACAAGTTAAATTCTGCCTGATATTTTCAACACCCTTTTTATATTAAAGATTATTAGATAAAACGCACTTGCTAAATCTCACTCTTAGTTTGCACATATATGTCCAATGTACTTTCTTAAATTCTGCCATTTTCAACACCCTTTTTATATTAAAGATTATTAGATAAAACGCACTTGCTAAATCTCACTCTTAGTTTGCACATATATGTCCAATGTACTTTCTTTTCTTTTCTTTTCTCTTATTTTCTTTTCTTTTCTTTTTTTTAACAGTCATTCATGACTAGTACCAATCAATTTGTGTTTGTAATTCTTCGAATTAAGATATTTACAAATGTTTAGGCATCTTTTCTAAAAAAAGACACATGAGGGTTGAAAGCAGTTGAGTGGAGGTTTTGTCTTTCTGAGCCAGAGATGTTGGCATTACCTGTAGCACTCCAGCAATTTCCCTTAATTCCAATGAGTTTTAACATTTCTGATTTTCATTACTTTTCTAGGCCTGGAAATTTAGATTTAAAATTCAGAACGGACACCTGATTTTAAAGTAGATGTCGCAAAAATAATTCATCTAAACAAAGCCATAAAATGTTGTTATAACTTACCAATCAGGTGACAGCAGCACAAACATAATAAAACAAACATATGAAACATTTTCTTCAGTTGTTCAGAGTCTGATCTAATAAGACTATCCGCTGAAAATACTCAACCTGATATGAATCCTCCTCTGACAGAGTTTGACCCTCCTAGTTCACACACCGCATTTGCATATGATATAATGTTATAGTTCTTCTGACCCTAAATAAGACTTTAACTGTTCTTAATAGGTTAAAATAGTCTTTATTTTTATCACTGAGCATACGTTTTGTAAGGTACTTATGTATAAATATGTGACTGGGTTGGCTAAAAGTACTGTATATAAATATTGTGTAAATTGTGGGTGAACTACATTTCATGGCGAAATAGAACATTGAACACAACCATCATGATTTAAAAAATGTATATAGTTATTCAGTTTTTAATTTTTGTGTATGGAAAAAAAAAACAATGTAAGTTAAAACCATGGTCTCACGGTACCAGTTTACCAACGTTCATTTGAGTCAAACTGAAACCTGCTGCGGTCTGATTTCTATAGAAATATGGTTTGATCTGTTGGTGGACACACCTCATGTAGGTGAGAGTGGACATTCAGAGCATGTGTGATCAGTTTGTACGTGAAGAGTGTCTTCCTGTCCTGCCTCTGTGAAAAGCTTTTTAAGACCCTTAAATCTACAGAAACAAAAAACATGAGAAACTGTGTCTGACACAGAGGCAGAGAAACAATAACAACTAAATAATCATATTAACAAGTTTAGAATCACTTTTTGAATTTTCCACCCTTTACTCAAAATACATATTTGATGTCAAACTTTTCACCATTCCACTGACTTGTTACTGTGTTTTATTCTTATTGTCATTGCTATTTTCTTAAGGTTTTAGTAAGTTTCCAGTGGGTTGGCTGACTTATAGTTCAGATTTGGCCAAATCTCAGAAATGGACCGAACTATATAAGTGTATCTGCTAAACGGATGCTAATGACACTGATATATTCACATAATCCTGGGATATCCAAGTGTACATGTAATATTTTGAACAAAAACATGTAACAGCATTAAATTAATTATCTCCACTTTGTTCAGTAAATATAGTGAACACTATTTGGTTGTGTGTAAGAAGGAGGGTGTATATGAAACAGGATGTGGTTTGTGTGATGTTCTTTAAAGGGGTCACATGATGCGATTTCAATTTTTCCTTTCTCT